ATAAATTTATATATATATATGCATATATATAAATTTATTTTTTCAGACAGGGTCTTGCTCTGTCACCCAGGCTGGAGTGCAGTGGCACAATTACAGCTCACTACAGCCTCAACTTCCCAGGCTTAAGTGATATTCCTGACTCAGCCTCCCTAGTAGCTGGGTCTACAGGCTCATGCAATCACACCACCTGGTTTTATTAAGAGGTGGGGTCTCACTGTGTTGCCCAGGCTGGTCTCCTGGGCTCTAGCAATCCTCCTTCCTTGGCCTCCCCAAGTGCTGGGATTACAGACATGATCTACCACGTCCTGCACCTTCTATTTGCAGGACTTGTGCTATGGCACCCTGCAGGGTGTGCAGCCAGAGAAAGGAGAATCACATGTGTCTGTCTTCCAGTAACTTCATGACTCCAATAGCTAACACAGCCTAGAAAGACTGGAATTACCCGCAGAGCAGAAAAGGGTCAGGGCCCAGGAACTCAGAGGAGGGAGACCAGAGGCGCTTCCCTAAAAAAGGAATGTTTAAAATGGGTTTAGGCTCCTGGAAAGCGGAGCTTGCAGTGAGCCAAGATCGCGCCACTGCACTCCAACCTGGGCGACAGAGCGAGACACTGTCTCAAAAAAAAAAAATTGGTTTAGGCTCAGCACGGTGGCTCATGCCTGTTGGGAGCTCAAGACAGGAGGATTTCTTGAGCCCAGGAGGTCAAGGCTGCAGTAAACTGTAATCATGCCACTCCACTCTAGCCTAGGCTATTAACAGAGCAAAACACTGTCTCAATTTAAAAAAAAAAAATTTAAAAGGAAAGAAAGTGGCCGGGCGTGGTGGCTCACTGCTGTAATCCCTGCACTTTGGGAGGCCAAGGCAGGTGGATCACGAGGCCAAGAGTTCAAGACATCCTGGCCAACATGGTGAAACCCCGTCTGTGCTAAAAATACAAAAATTAGCCAGGTATGGTGGCGTGCACTTGTAATCTCAACTACTCAGGAGGCTGAGGCAGGAGAATCACTTGAACCCGGGAGGCGGCGGTTGCAGTGAGCCAAGATCGGGCCATTGTACTCCAGCCTGGGCCAACAGAGTGAGACTCCACCCCAAAAGAAAAGAAAATTGGCTTAGAGCAGTAGTCCCCAATCTTTTTTGGCACCAGTGACCATGGACCAGTTTCATGGAAGGCAATTTTCCCATGGACAGAGTTGGGGGTAGGGGCAGGGGGCGGAAAGGATGGTTTGGAGATGAAACTGTTCCACCTCAGATCATTAGGTGTTAGATTCTCATAAGGAGCACACAACCTAAATCTCTCACATGCACAGTTACCAATAGGGCTCGCGCTCCTATGAGAATCTAATGCTGCTGCTGATCTGACAGGAGGCGGAGCTCAGGTGGTGATGCTCCATTACCCACCACTCACCTCCTGCTGTGCATCCTGGTTCTTAACAGGTCACGGACTGGTACCAGTCCATGGCCTGGGGGTTGGGGACCCGTGGCTCAAAGGACAGGAGCTGGGAGCAAAGACAGAAACCTAGGCAGTGGGAAGAAATGCTGCATGTTTTCTGGGCCCATGTAATGTGTTCAGTTTGGCCTGAATACAAGGAATGTATTGGGCGGCGGCAGAGGCAGCAGATAAGATTAGACAGTCAGAGGAGCTGGTTCTTACCGTGTGAGCTTGAGCCAGTCATGGTCTCTTCTTGTGCTTCAGCTTTTCCATCTCAGTACTGGGTTGGAAAGCCCTGTTCTGCCTATTTCTCCACTGTTGTTGTTTTGAGACAGAGTCTCATTCTGTCACCCAGGCTGGAGTGCAATGGTGTGATCTTGGCTCACTGCATCCTCCACCTCCCGGGTTCAAGTGATTCTCCTGCCTCAGCCTCCTGAGTAGCTGGGATTAACAGGCGTACACCACCACGCCCGGCTAATTTTTTTATTTTTAGTAGAGATGGGGTTTCACCATGTTGGCCAGGCTGATCTTGAACTCCTGACCTCAGTTGATCAGCCCTTCTAGGCCTCCAAAGTGCTGGGATTACAGAAGTGAGTCACTGCATCTGGCCGATTGTTATGTATTCAAATGAGTTTGAGGGTCTAAAACATATCAGAAGAGGGACAGGCTGTTCTGTTTTTAAGAAAGGCCCAGATTAGACCTGAACCCTCAGATGCTGGGGGAAGGCTTCACCTCCCCCCAATCTTTTTTGTGTTTGTTTCTTGGTTTTGTTTTTTAAGACAGTGTCAGCCAGGCACAGTGGCTCACGCCTGTAATCCCAACACTTTGGGAGGCTGAGAAAGGCAGATCAAGAGGTCAGGGGATCTGGTCTCGATGGTGAAATCCCTTCTCTACTAAAAATACAAAAAATTAGCTGGGCGTGGTGGCGGGCGCCTGTGGTCCCAGCTACTCGGGAGACTGAGGCAGGAGAATGGCGTGAACCTAGGAGATGGAGCTTGCAGTGAGCCGACATCATGCCACTGCACTCCAGCCTGGGTGACAAAAAAAAAAAAAAAAAAGACAGTGTCTTATTCTGTTGCCCAGGCTGGAGTATAGTGGTGCGATCTCAGCTCACTGCAACATTCACTTCCTGGGTTCAACTAATTCCCTAACTCACCTTCCCCAGTAGCTGGGATTACAGGTGAGCGCCACCACGCCTGGCTAATTTTTGTACTTTTAGTAGAGAGACGGGGTTTCACCATGTTGGCCAGGCTGGTCTTGAACTCCTGACCTTGTGAGACCACCTCAGCCTCCCAAAGTGCTGGGATTTCAGGTATGAGCCACTGTGCCCAGCTCACCTCCCCCTTTTAACAGATAGTGACACTGGGACCCAAAGGAGTTAACAGACAGAAAACATGGCAGAGGGAGAGATGGGGTGGTATGAACCAGAATTTGTAGTTTGCAGTGCCTTCGCCTTCCTCTCCCTTCTTCCACATGGGTTCTGTGGCACTTAATGAAGCAAGGTATTGATGTCTTCCCTCTGGAGCCTGGCATGGGCATGTCTCCTCTGGGCTGGAACATAGCTTAACAGATTGTCCCTGTGCCTCAACCCCTCAAAAACTGCCACTTCCAGTTCCACTGCCACATATTCTTGTTTTGTTTTGAGACGAAGTCTGGCTCTGTCACCCAGGCTGGAGTGCAGTGGTGTGATGCCAGCTCACGGTGACCTCCGCCTTCCGGGTTCAAGCAATTCTTCTGCCTCAGCCTCCCAAGTAGCTGGATGCCACCAGCCCAGCTAATTTTTGTATTTTTAGTAGACACGGGGTTTCACCATATTGGCCAGGCTGATCTCGAACTCTTGACCTCAAGTGATCCACTGCCTGGGTCTCACAAAGTGCTGGGAGTACAGGCCTGAGGCATAGCCATCACACCCAGCCCCAGTTCCTAACATTCTAAGGAAGGTATGAGATGGCAGTAAGAGGACTGCACTGGAGGGCAGGATTTGCTAATGTGATGCGGTGTGTTATTCCCCTACCTGGACCTGTTTACCTAGCTGTGCAACTTGTGCACGATGCACTGCATTGTGTTTCAAAATGCATTGTTTTTTTTTTTTTCTTTTCTTTTTTTGGTCTCACTCTCTGGCCCAGGCTGGAGTGCAGTGGCACGGTCTCGGCTCACTGCAACCTCTGCCTTCTGGGATCAAGCGATTCTCCCGCCTCAGCCTCCCAAGTAGCTGGGACTACAGGCACGGGCCACCACAGGTGTCCACTGCCACAGCCGGCTAATTTTTTGTATTTTTAGTAGAGACAGGGTTTCACCATGTTGGTCAGGTTGGTCTCAAACTCCTCACATCAGGTGATTCGCCCACCTCAACCTCTCAAAGTGCTGGGATTACAAGTGTGAGCCACCAAGCCTGGCCCCAAAATGTGGTCTTTAATTAGGATCACAAATGTAGTTGTTAAAAATGCACACTCTGGCCAGGCACAGTGGCTCATATCTGCAATCCCAGCAGTTTGGGAGGCCGAGGTGGGCGGCTCACCTGAGGTCAGGAGTTCGAGACCACCCTAGCCAACATAGTGCAACCCCGTGTCTACTAAAAATACCAAAAAAAAAAAAAAAAAAAGCCAGGCGTGGTGGCACATGACTGTAATCCCAACTATTTGGGAGGCTAAGGCAGGAGAATTGCTTGAACCCAGGAGGCAGAGCTTGCAGTGAGCTGAGGTCGTACCATTGTACTCCAACCTGGCCACAGAGCAAGACTCTGTCTAAAAAATAAACAAAAACAAAACAAAAAAGCATTCCTGGGTCAACTCAGAAATTCTGCAGTATCTGCAGTAGAATCACAAGGTTTGCCTGGGAAGCTGAATTTCTATAAGCTGCACTGATATTCTGTTACATAGCAAGAGTTTGGGGACCTCTAGTCTTCTGGCTGTGACCATCTGATTCCTCATTCTTTCCTCCATGGCTCAGGTGTGCAGACTGAGTGTGGGTATGATGATTGGTGGGTGCTGAATTCTCAACCCACAGACCCCTGGGAAATATGGGTCTGGGGGAGGGACCCACAGATCCTGAATAAGCTCTCTGACCTGATGTCTAGGATGAGAGGAGGGGACTGAAGGGCTTGCAGAGCAAAGGGGACTAAGCATTTAGAAGTGCCCTAAGTGATGCCCTGCTCCTTCTTAACATTCATTATTTGCGAATATTTGAGCACCTACTACATGCTAGGCTTATCTAGGTGTTGGAGGATACAGTAGTGAATGAAAATCTGTGCCCGCGTTAAGTTTATGTTCTAGTGGACATGGTAGGCAATAAGGAAATAAATAAATGGGCCGGGCAAAGTGGCTCACATCTATAATCCCAGCACTTTGGGAGGCAGAAGTGAGTGGATCACTTGAGCTCAGGAGTTAAAGACCAGCCTAGGCAACATAGTGAGACCCCGTCTCTACAAAAAATACAAAAATTAGCTGGGTGTGGTGGCAGGCACCTGTAGTCCCAGCTACTCGGGAGGATTGCTTGAGCCCGGGAGATGGAGGTTGCAGTGAGCTGAGATCCTGCCACCGCACTCCAGCCTGGGCAACAGAGTGAGACCTCATCTCAAAAAAGAAAGATAGAAATGAAATATATAGCATGTTAGTGATACGTGCTGAGGAGAAAAACAAAACAGAGATGGGGGATAGAAACTGTTATTCGTTAAGTGCAATTTTAGATGGGGTTTTCTCGGAAGTGCCGTGACGTCATCGCTTGCTTTAAAAGCGGCCAGGCGCGGTGGCTGACTCCTGTAATCCCAGCACTTTGGGAGCCCCAGGCAGGCAGATCACCTGAGGTCAGGAGTTCGAGACCAGCCTGGCCAACATGGTAAAACGCTGTCTCTACAAAAATACAAAAATTAGCTGGGCATGATGGCGGGTGTCTGTAATCCCAGCTACTCAGGAGGCTGAGGCAGGAGAATCGCTTGAACCTGTGAGGCGGAGGTTGGACTGAGATGAGACTGCACTACTGCACTCCAGCCTGGGTGACAGACCAGGACTCTGTCTCAAAAAATAAAATAAAATAAAATAAAATAAAATAAAAAATAAGCCTGGGCGCGGTGGCTCACGCCTGTAATCCCAGGAGCCGAGAGGGGCGAGGCGGGCGGATCACCTGAGATCGGGAGTTCAAGACCAGCTTGACTAACATGGAGAAACCCCGTTTCTACTAAAAATACAAAATTAGCCAGGAGTGGTGGTGCATGCCTGTAATCCCAGCTACTCAGGAGGCTGAGGCAGGAGAATCGCTTGAACCCGGGAGGCGGAGGTTGCAGTGGACCAAGATCGTGCCATTGCACTCCAGCCTGGGCAACAGAGTGAGACTCCATCTCAAAAAAAAAAA